AGGTGGCGCCTCGACTGAACGTGGCATTTTTTCCTCCTCAAGAAGAATAGCATCATCATTTTGGAATATTGCATCGTCGTCATCCTTCATTCCACATGTAGAAAATTGCTCCTCCGCGTTCAAAATTTGTACCGAGTTCTTTGTTTGCTCCTTAGTAGTGGCTTGCTTCTTGGAATTCAAGTCATGAATACCACTAGGAATCTTGGTTTTCAATGATGCTGTATTGGTCACTTGCTTCATCACTTGTATTTCAGAAAAACCTGCACACACCTTGCTTTTCAATGTTGAAGTACTCGCTTCCTTTACTTCTTGCAACCCAGAAGTAGCCAAATTGGTTATATCCTGAAAAGAAGGAAAACCAAAAAAATTGTTGAGACGGTTAAATAAAACCTGTTCTTGTCACTTTAAGGTTTCCAAATTTTACATGGGACCTCATGGCACGAAAACAGTTTCATTAGCTACAGCAAGGCTAAAAATAAAGTTCTTTCCCCCAATTTTTCAACTGAGTGTACTTTGAAATTTATTTCATCTAAAATAATTGATGACTTAGTTCTTCCAAAAAATTATTTACCCTCCTTATCCGGTGGACACTTCAATTAAATCGACTCTTGCGAAAGTCACCGGTGTCAATTTTGAGTTTTCCTCCGTATATCTGTTTTTGGGAGGAGTAAATGTCAAATCAATCTGAAAAAGGTTATACCTACACACGCACAACTACTTTAGCTGTATGTAAATCTAAGACAATTTGGCTTGATTCGACGTTTCTTTCCCCTGAAAACTAAAAATGGACATCAGTGTCTTTCGCACAAGCTGATTCAATTGAACCATTCAGTGGATGAAGGAGGTAAGAGACATTTTTTGGATATTGAGTAAACTCAGTGGTTTAATGTTCACAAATAACATGGGGTTTTAGTTCCAGTATAAGTTAGTGGTTCAAATTGGTACTGAAAACTGAAAAGCTTATCTTGACGACTACGTAACTCGATATTCGAGTAAGTTCACAGTTTTTCAACTCATTATATAACCAGTCAACCACTTTCATTAAAGCCTTGAAAAGTGTCTATTCTTACCGGTAATGGCTCATTCCTTTCACAATCATCAGCATACTTCCTTTGCCAAAAACGGTTAAGTTCTCTCATAGCTTCCAGTTCTTCTTGCAACTTTTTGTTTTCTTTTAAGCAGCTCTTGAGTTGGATTTCTTTAGCCAGCAATTCTTCTTTGACATCTTTTTTCAGCACGATTTCGTCTCCAGAATCTGTGGTGTCGGACTGTTCAGGCTCTTTCTTGTACTTTTTTTCCCATGTGCTAGTTGTAATGCTGTCACTTGCCTTCACAGCTTTCTTCAATTTTGCCTATAGAAGATCAAAGAGGAAGAAATTAGTACACATCATAGAGTCATTTCTACTTCAATCAGTTATACAGCATTAGAACTTCATGCAGGGACAGGATGTTTTCCCTATCTTCCTCTGTATCCGCTGAGTCTTTTTACTTAAAAGTAGAAATATTCTATGGTGGTTCTTTAAATGGAGTGCTCTGAGGGAAAGTTTATCCTTCCAAAAATGTTCTCACCTCAAAACTACATTATTGGCTCATTAGTTGAAAATAAAATGGAATGCACAATGTTACAAACAGCATGCATGCAAAGAAAAGCAATACATGATTAGAGGCCTTTACTGCCGATCTAAGGAAAAACACCACATAAACATTCAAGAGTTGCCAAATTTCCCTGGAAAAAACACGTATTCTCTGGGAAAGTTATTCATAAATTTCTTTGAAATTTTCAGATATTTTAGATAAAATTACTGACGAAATCCTCCACAAATTCGGAGAAGTAATATTCACAAATTTTCCTGGAATTCGTGATTTGTTGAGGGAAATTTGGCAATGCCTGATGGTTCATACAGCGTTCTTCCTTAGCACGGCAGTTTGGGAGACAAGGCACATACAGCTGGAGCAAAATAAAAATGTATTCGGTAAACAATACATTTTGTTATTAGGGGGGGGGGGGGGGGGGGGGGGGAGATGCAATGAACTGCACTGCACCAATACTTCCCACCTCGTCCAAAAAGTTTCGTTTACCAAATCCATACAAATCTTACCACAGCTCTAAATGCAAATACTTCTTGAAAAAATTAAGTTTTTAGTAGCTTTAATAAAATTTGTATAATTGTCAACTATGAGAGAAATTTACGGCTTAGGTACTAATATGTCAGTTTAACATTATTTTTCTGCCACAATGCTCCCTGTAATTATGACAATTTAAACTTGTTTCACTCGAAATAGCAAAAAAAGCATGTGTGCACTAGCACTCTAAATGGCACTATGTAGATTACCTTCGAGACATAGCCAGGATTGGATGATTTAGTTGTTCCTTTCACCTTTTTCTTGGGTGGTCCTTTGTCTGCTTTCAGTTCAAGGCCTCTTAAAAAGGCTTTTTTTGTCGGAATAATGATCCTCTTATCACCTAATTCCGTCAACTTTCTTCGTGACTCTGAAAGGAAAAGGAAATGTGGGATAGTGAGTGAGCATCATTAAATGGATCTCTTTAATCAGGCTACTTTTGGGAGATCTAAGTTGATTATAAAATCTGGCTACAAGGCATCATATACCTACTAAGATTTCAGAAAACTATGTTAAACTTCACTCCAAAGTGGAAGGTAAGATATATTATAAGCCAGAAAACCTGGAACTTCAATTGGTGTACGTAAATTGCCAAAAATTTTATGCTGCAAATCATTGTGCCAAAAATATTTTTATGACATAGCTCTTTATAGGTAACTCCCTGAATCGAAATACTCAAAAATGCTACAACAGCCTTCTCATGACTGAATATGCGGAAGCTACCGAGTGACTTTGGACCAGAATTACGGCACTTTGTTCGCATCCACTTGATGTTATACTGTTCCTTGAGGAACTAACAGGCTTCCTCAGGGTGACAAATCAGAGACCAAACTAACATATTACTTTTTTCTGAACGTCCTTACAGTTGTACACATTCAGGTGATTTGTCACGATTTCAAACGTTGTTGAACTGGCAAGCCATACATGGCATCAATTAAGTAAAAAATCTCGGCAGATTTTGAATTGTTAGCCAAAAAAAGGACAAGTGCCCCTGCGCATGAGCCTGAAGTATCATTCTGAACTAAAAAATTGGCAAAATTTAGAGAAGGAAAAGCAGGATTCTTCTTGGGAAAAACCTTTGCATTTGATACAGTCATCAACTTCCGTATCGAATGCAAGGTTTTTTCCTAAAAAAAAATCCTGCTTTTCCTTCTCTAAATTTTGCCAATTTTTTAGTTCAGAATGATACCTCAGGCTCTGTGCAGGGACGCTCTTCTATCTTATGGCTAAAAATTCAAAATCTGCCAAAATTTTAACTTAACAATATAATATATCGCTTGACAGCACATTTGAAACAGTGATAAATCACCTTGAGCTGGGTGTAGAGAGACGAGCAGTGTTTCTCAAAGCTAGTTTGAACAAAGCTGAAACAAGAAGATTCATCTGCATGTCGTTCTATGTGCAGTTGCTACAACTGGACAAAGAATAAGCCCTGGATAGACGATCAAATTCCGAACCAATTCCGATCAAAGTAGACATGCTGATGACTGATGGTCACCATCTACCATCAAATTTTGACGGGCCGCACTATTTTGTTCAAAGTAAGATCAGAATGGAGTGCCACCATTCATCATTTCCTGCCACAGGAAACATTTCTGCCAAGTTTTCATTTTAAAACTAAGCAAATTAATGAGTTTCAGACTGATGACTCCCGACACTTTGATGGTAATTGGTTCGGGAATTTGAACATCTATCGAGACCTAAAGATATGACAAAAGTCACATCAACCTGACTGCATCAAACATCAGTTGGCCCATTGGTTAGCATGTAAATATCTATTGAGTGGTGCAATTTGTGGATGTGACTTTTGTCTTCCTGTTTTCTATTCCACCGGCCCGATTACCGAAACTATGTGAGAACGACAAGACATAGCCCTATCTTTACTGTGCAATATATCGCATTTCGATGTCTTATCGGGCTGCTTAAAACATTCAATTATCGGCCTGCAGTTCTAGTTCAGCAAACTTATGAGGTACAGTAAGGCCAAGTTAGAGCTCGCGCATCGTATGTTGAGACAAATGTCAAAGGATTGTTTATGTCACCATTCACCAGTGGTGCCACCTGACTACATGTATTAACCTGTTGAGCGGTGCGAATTCGGAGCTAATCGGAGATTGACGTTTGTCTCAACATACGATGAGCGAGCTCTACCCTGTCATAACCATTAAGATAGATATCACTGAAAAACAAACAAACATAAGAAGCACTTACCAGCTATTTGTAGGACTATGGCCCTATAGTAACCTGCTAGCGGTTCATTGGAGCCATCCGAGTCCAGTACTTCAGTCAGATCGAGGACCCTCCCCTGCTCTCTCATGATGTCGGTGGGAGTCTCTCCGTCGACAGGACTCCAAAACACTTTGGCGACCATATTACGCTTAAAGTTGGATGGATCGAAGTCCTTAACGAAGCTTTGTGGCACTGCCACCGGCTGATCATTTGGCTCATCATCGGGAAATTTCACGAGCGCGTAAGGCTCTGACATGTTCGTTTCTCGTTTGCCACAAATCTTCGCACAAAAACTATACACTGTGCACGTTTCCTATGTACACTGTACACGTATCCTACTATTTACACTATACAAAATAGAAAAAAGAAATTTATTACATTCTAATTGCTCTCTGCGTGGAACAAGATGTGATGAAATGAAATAATTATCACACGAACGTGCACGCCTAATAACGTTAGTAACGTTTAAGTCGGAGACCCAAACTAATTAGACCCAGACTAATTAGGCCTAAACGATTAATTAGACGTAAACTAATTAGACATAAGATTTAATGCGACATTCCCAACAATTCGTCACCTTCCCGGCAAAGTATCACAAGCGCCATTTTTACCGAAATTGAGTTGTGAATTGTTCCGAAATAACGAGATGCATTTACATACGAAAATAATCATTTTTTTTACAACAAATATGTAGAAATATGAATAAAAGTCGATTAAAGTTGATGTACTTTCGTATCACAAGCGCCATTTGGGAGAAAAGTATCACAAGCGCCAAGTTCGGCAACCGCCTACCTTTCTGATTGTTTTACAATTTTTGTCACGGCAATCTTCGGAATGACTTGAAACTAAATTATTTTCGCATGTAATTACATCTCGTTATTTCGAATATAATATTTTTTTTAGACTAAATATAAATAAATATTTAAAATACTCCATTGAAGTTGACGAACTTTCGTATCACAAGCGCCATGTAAGAGAAAAGTATCACAAGCGCCAAGTTGGGAATAATCGCTCATCTTTAAGATTGATTTTCGATATTAGTATCAACAACTTTTGGAATGACTTGGAGCGATTCGTCACTTTTCGGCCGAAGTATCACTATGGAACGCCGTTAGTGTCAAAACCCTTTTCTTGCGCGCGCGGAATTTTTTCTGGCGCGCGGACAGAAAAAATCCGTTTTCGATGAAAATCTCTGAATTTCCGGATTCCGCGCCGGTTTTCGATATATTTGCGCCGTTTGTGTCAAAACTATTTTTTCCGGCGCGGCGCTCCAAATCTGTTCCGCGCGCGGAATTTTCGATATATCCATTCCTGCTCGCCGTTTGTGTCAAAAGTATTTTTTCCGGCGCGGCGCTCCAAATCTGTTCCGCGCGCAGAATTC